ATGTTGGACAGCGAGGACAGCAACTTCTCCGAGGAGGAGGACAGCGAGCGCAGCAGTGACAGCGAGGAGGCCGAGGTAGAGGAGGAGCGGCGGAGTGCAGCGGGCAGTGAGAAGGAGGAAGAGCCCGAGGAGGAAGAGGAGGAGGAAGATGACGACCGGCCCCCCAAGAAACCCCGCCATGGCAGCTTCATTCTGGATGAGGCTGATGTGGATGATGAGTATAAGGATGAGGACCAGTGGGAGGATGGAGCAGAGGACATCCTGGAGAAGGAAGAGATTGAAGCCTCCAACATCGACAATGTTGTTCTGGATGAAGACCAGTCTGGGGCTCGCCGCCTGCAAAACCTCTGGAGGGACCAGCGAGAAGAAGAACTGGGCGAGTATTACATGAAGAAATACGCCAAGTCATCTGTGGGAGAGATGGTGTATGGAGGGTCTGATGAGCTCTCGATGACATCACCCAGCAGCAGCTGCTCCCAGGAGTCAAGGATCCCAATCTGTGGACTGTCAAACGTAAGATTGGGGAGGAACGGGCCACAGCCATTTCCTTGATGCGCAAGTTCATTGCCTACCAGTTCACAGACACGCCCCTGCAGATCAAGTCGGTGGTGGCACCAGAGCACGTGAAGGGTTACATCTACGTGGAGGCCTACAAGCAGACCCACGTGAAGCAGGCCATCGAGGGTGTGGGCAACCTGCGGCTCGGCTACTGGAACCAGCAGATGGTGCCCATCAAGGAGATGACGGATGTGCTCAAAGTGGTGAAGGAGATGGCCAACCTGAAACCCAAATCCTGGGTCCACCTCAAGCGGGGCATCTACAAGGGTGACATTGTTCAGGTGGATTACGTGGAACCCAGTCAAAACACCATCTCCCTGAAGATGATCCCACGCATCTACTACGACCGCATTAAGGCCCGCATGAGCTTGAAAGACTGGTTTGCCAAAAGGAAGTTTAAGCGGCCCCCACAGAGGCTGTTTGATGCAGAAAAGATCAGATCCCTGGGGGGTGACGTTGCCTCCGACGGTGACTTCCTCATCTTCGAGGGGAACTGTTACAGCCGGAAGGGCTTTCTATTCAAGAGCTTTGCCATGCCTGCTGTGATCACAGAGGGTGTGAAGCCCACACTCTCTGAGCTGGAGAAGTCTGAGGACCAGCCAGAGGGCATCGACCTGGAGGTGGTGACTGAAAGCACAGGGAAGGAGCGGGAGCACAACTTCCAGCCCTGGGACAACGTGGAGGTGTGCGAGGGCGAGCTCATCAACGTGCAGGGCAAGATCCTCAGTGTGGATGGCAACAAGATCACCATCATGCCCAAGCACGAGGACCTCAAGGACATGCTGGAGTTCCCAGCCCAGGAACTTGGCAAGTACTTCAAGATGGGGGACCACATGAAGGTGACCGCTGGTCGGTTTGAGGGTGACACAGGCCTCATCGTGCGGGTGGAGGAGAACTTCATCATCCTCTTCTCTGACCTCACCATGCACGAGCTGAAGGTGCTCCCCAGGGACCTGCAGCTCTGCTCGGAGATGGCATCAGGTGTGGATGTCGGGGGCCAGCACGAATGGCGGGAGCTGGTGCAGCTGGACCCCCCAGACCGTGGGTGTCATCGTGCGACTGGAGCGGGAGACCTTCCAGGTGCTGAACATGTATGGGAAGGTGGTGACTGTCAGGCACCAGGCTGTGACCCGGAAGAAAGACAACCGCTTTGCCGTGGCCCTGGACTCAGAACAGAATAATATCCATGTGAAGGACATCGTCAAGGTCATTGATGGCCCCCACTCGGGCCGGGAAGGCGAGATTCGCCATCTCTTCCGCAGCTTCGCCTTCCTGCACTGCAAGAAAGTGGTGGAGAACGGCGGCATGTTTGTCTGCAAGACCCGCCACCTGGTGCTGGCAGGGGGCTCGAAGCCTCGAGATGTGACCAACTTCACAGTAGGAGGCTTCGCCCCTATGAGCCCCCGGATCAGCAGCCCTATGCACCCCAGTGCTGGAGGTCAGCGCGGTGGCTTTGGCAGCCCAGGTGGTGGCAGTGGTGGCATGAGCAGGGGCCGAGGGCGGAGAGACAGCGAGCTCATCGGCCAGACTGTGCGCATCTCCCAGGGGCCCTACAAAGGCTACATCGGTGTGGTAAAGGATGCCACGGAGTCCACTGCCCGCGTGGAGCTGCACTCCACCTGCCAGACCATCTCTGTGGACCGCCAGCGCCTCACCACCGTGGGCTCACGGCGCCCAGGCGGCATGGCCTCGACCTACGGGCGGACACCCATGTATGGCTCCCGCACGCCCATGTACGGCTCTCAGACGCCCCTCCAGGATGGCAGCCGCACTCCTGCCCAGAGTGGGGCCTGGGATCCAAACAAACCCAACACACCGTCACGGGCTGAGGAAGAACATGAGTATGCCTTTGATGATGAGCCTACCCCATCCCCACAGGCCTACGGGGGCACCCCCAACCCCCAAACACCTGGCTACCCAGACCCCTCGTCCCCGCAGGTCAACCCACAGTGCAACCCACAGACTCCAGGGACACCAGCCATGTACAACACAGACCAGTTTTCCCCCTAGGCGGCCCCCTCCCCGCAAGGCTCCTACCAGCCCAGCCCCAGCCCTCAGAGCTGCCACCAGGTGGCGCCAAGTCCAGCAGGCTATCAGAATACCCACTCCCCAGCCAGCCACCACCCCACACCCTCGCCAATGGCCTATCAGGCCAGCCCCAGCCCCAGCCCCGTGGGCTACAGTCCGATGACACCTGGAGCTCCTTCCCCTGGTGGCTACAACCCGCACACGCCGGGCTCAGGCATTGAACAGAACTCCAGCGTCTGGTGACCACTGACATCCAGGTGAAGGTGCGGGACACCTACCTGGATACACAGGTGGTGGGGCAGACGGGAGTCATCCGCAGTGTGACCACGGGAGGCATGTGCTCTGTGTACCTGAAAGACAGTGAGAAGGTCGTCAGCATCTCCAGTGAGCACCTGGAGCCCATCACCCCCACCAAGAACAAGGTGAAGGTGGTCCTGGGTGAGGATTGGGAAGCCACAGGTGTCCTGCTGAGCATCGATGGTGAGGATGGCATTGTCCGCATGGACCTTGACGAACAGCTCAAGATCCTCAACCTCCGCTGCCTGGGGAAGCTCCTGGAGGCCTAAAAGCAGGCAGGGTGGACTCTGGCAGATAATCTGGCAGATGGAGAGCATCCCTCTTTCCTTCCCTGGCCCTTGGCTCTGACTCCGGATCCAGGGCCAGGAGCAGGGCTAGCCTGGTGGTTCGGGATTTCTTTTATTTTCCTTTCTGCGTTCCTATCTCCCTCCCTGATATTCATGGGAATCTGAGTAGAGTCTGGGGAGGGTCCCCACCTTCTTATTCCCCACCTCCTCCAGCTTGCTTTTGTGTTACGGTCTTTCAATAAAAAACTGTTTGGTAAAAAAAAAAAGAAGAAAAGAAAGAAATTTGAGCTTAAAAAAAATCAGGAATCTCACCATTTCTCTCTTCTGTGATCTTTGAGGTCAAATGTTAAATCCTACCAATGAAGAAGCTACAGTTCTGTGTATTTAAGTAACAGTTATGATGAACTGTTCAACTCTCTACAAGTTTTTGCCCAGTCCCTTCTCCTCTGTGGCTGATTCATTTCTCCTTTTCTTGATTATATTCCTGCAGTCATCATGTTGAGTTAGGTCTTGTGATTCTGAAATAAGAAACGTTTAGGCAGTTTTGCAAAATGCAACCCGGATACACCTGGTCCTTTTAATGACTAACAGCAATCCAAATGTGACCTACCAAAAACTTAGATAAATGATATAATCTTGGAAGAAAAATACATCTTGGCTCAGGAGGGAAATGCTGAGAACTATGGCAAGGTTTCTCGGAAAAAAATCGTCTTTTTCCAAATTCACCAGTTTTTAGAACAACTTCACTCAAACACTTGTTTTAAAATGTTATCAAGGACGTCCCTGGTGGTCCAGTGGTTAGGAATCCACCTTCCAGGGCAGGAGACACAGGCTTGATCCCTGGTCTGGGAAGATTTCACATGCCTCAGGGCAAGTAACCCCATGTGCCACAACTACTGAGCCAGGACTCTAGAGCCCGCAAGCCACAACTACTGAAGCCTAAACGCCGCTGCTAGAGAGTAGCCCCCCTTGCTGCAACTAGAGAGAGCCCATATGTAGCAAGAAAGCCCCAGTGCAGCCAAAAATATAAATAAATAAAAATTAAATATATCAGAGCCATCTCACAATTATTAGAATGACTGCTGCTGCTGCTGCTGCTGCTAAGTCGCGTCAGTCGTTTCCGACTCTATGCGACCCCATAGACAGCAGCCCACCAGGCTCCCCCGTCCCCGTCCCTGGGATTCTTCAGGCAAGAACACTGGAGTGGGTTGCCATTTCCTTCTCCAATGCATGAAAGTGAAAAGTGAAAGTGAAGTCGCTCAATCGTGTCCGACTCTGTGTCACCCCATAGACGGCAGCCCACCAGGCTCTGCCGTCCCTGGGATTTTCCAGGCAAGAGTACTGGAGTGGGTTGCCATTGCCTTCAGCTACCATTTAAGAAAATCCAGAAAAGAACAAATATTGGAGAGGTCGTGGAGAAATTGGAACCCTTCTGTGCCATTGGTGGGAGTGCAAAGTGGTGTGACTGCTATGGAAAAAGGATAAGGCCATTCTGCAAAAAATTAGAAATAGTATTACCATATGATCAACAATTCCTCTTCTGGCTAAATATACCAAAAAAATTGAAAGCAGGGACATGTCAAGGTATTTGTATACCCATGTTCATAGGAACATTATTCATATTAGTCAAGGGGTGGAAGCAACCCAAGTAGCCATCAACAGATGAATGGATAAACAAAATGTGGGATATATATACAAAAGAATATTAGCTTTAAAAAGGAAATTCTGCAATATGCTACAACATCAATGAACTTTGAAGACATTATGTTAAGTGAAATAAGCCGATCACAAAAATACAAATATTTTATGAGTCACTTAATACAAAGTACCCAGAGCAATGACATTCATGGAGACAGAAAGTATAATGGTGGTTTCCAAGGACTGGGGCAAAGGGGCATGAAATGCTATTGTTAAAAGGATGGAGTTTCAGTTTTTCAAGATGAAAGAAAGTACTGGAAATAGATGGTAGTGATGGATGCACAACAGTGTGAACAGATTTAATGCCACTGAACAGTACGGTTAAAAATAGTTAAGATGGGTTAACCAAAAACATGATTTTAGAAAGTAAGTTCAAAATAGATTTGATAAATTTGGGGTGGTGAATAAATAGGATTTTTCATCTACAGCATCATCTCCAGAGGTTACAAAAGTGAAGTGAAAGTTGCTCAGTCATGAGCAACTCTTTGTGACCCCATGAACTGTATAGTCATGGAATTCTCCAGGCCAGAATACTGGAGTGAGTAGCCTTTCCCTTTTCCAGGGAATCTTCCCAACCCAGGGATCGAACCCAGGTCTCCTACATTGCAGGCGGCGTCTTTACCAGCTGAACCACAAGGGAAGCCCAAGGGAGCCTGTAATTTCTGCTGAAGTATACTACCTCAC